AATACAAGAACTTTCTTGTTCTTTGTTTCTTCATCATTCTTTCTATCTTCAATTTGAACTTCATATGCCATAAGATTACCAATAAGATTTTCAACCGTAAGAGTTGACAAATCATTGGCTTCTTCAATAGCGGTAATTTTCTTTTCCCATTGTGGAGTAAGTGATCGAAGTATCTTTCTTATCATCTCCACTTGTGTATATGTTTTTCCAAGACCAATAAGAGAATTTGTGATGTCGGTGAATCTTGTGAACATTTCTCCAATTATCTCATTTTCCTTCATCTTGAACAATTCAAATATGTGCACAACAACAGAAATTTTAGATTCTTTAACTTTATTTATACCTTCATGAGTTACCTCAAGTGTATGCCAAATATCGTATGCAGATGTGGCCGTTGACACCCTATTGAACTCATTCTTGTCAAGTGCACAAAATAATGCATTCATTGCTTTTGAATTCAAATTTGCATTATTTCTTTGAGAAGTAGTCCATTCTGTAAAAGGAGTTGTTGGCTTCTCATATTTCGTTTCCACAACGTTCCAAAGTTCGTAGCCAATTGATTGAAGGTAAATCTTCATTCGGCACTTCCAATAGTTGTAGTTCAAACCATCAAACATTGGTGGACGATTTGTAGAGTGACATTCCTTGAATTGTGATGTATTTGTCGATGCCATCTTTCACCTTGCTCTGATACCAAATATAGGATCTGAAATAGATACACTAGAACACTAGAGGGGGGTGAATAGTATTTTTTAAAATTTATGCAAAGTAGATTATAAATTACAAAGAAAAATGATAATCTCATAAATTCACAATCACAAACACAAGGATTTATACTGGTTCTACCAATCCGGTGTACATCCAGTCCCCAAGCAAATCCCGCTTGAGAGTTTTCACTATGATTTTGAATAAACTTACAAAATCAAAAGCAAACCTGACCAATTTGCAAGTCCCTGCAAATTGTAACACCAATTTGACAAACACCTTGCTAATATGTACACCAATCTCTAAACCAAGAGATTAACACCTCTCACAACTTGAGAGAACTTTTGAAGTAACAATTTCAAAGATTAACACCTCTCACAACTTGAGAGAACTTTTGAAGTAACAATTTCAATTCCTATAAGCCTTGATTTGTAGTGTAGTGTAGTAGTGGCTTAGGAATGATTCTAACTTCTGTAAATTGCCTAAACAATAAGTATTTGAATAATGTTTAGAGGTAATTTCAAAAACTTTTTTTTTTCTCAAAATCTGAATATTTTTCACTTGAAAAAATGCACAAAGATCAAAGCTTATGGGTATGTAAGTCTCTGCATTTTTTCTGAACAGATAACCTATTTATAGCCCTTGAAAAGATAATTTTTTAAACTTTAAAAACGTTTAAAAACGGCTATAAACAGTCATAAATTCAAACTTTGATATCTGGAAAAACTGTATCTGTAGTTAACTACAATACAGATTAGTCGACTACACTGAGTTCAAACAGACTCTGTGTATTCAGAAAATTTCTCAGTAGTCGACTATAATGCTCATTAGTCGACTACACTGTATTTTGACAGAAACTTGTAAAATGAATTTTGCCTTCAGTAGTCGACTATAATGTAGATTAGTCGACTATACTGTAAATTAACAAAAACTTATGTTTCTGTCAAACACCTGAGTAGTCGACTATAATCTATATTAGTCGACTATACTGTAAAATAACAGAAACATATATTTAAGTTTTATACACGAGTAGTCGACTACTATTCTAATTAGTCGACTACTAAGAGTAAAAATTATAAAATAAAATGTTTTTATACTCAAGTTTTTAACTATAATTCTAATGGTTAACATAGGGGATTTCTATAGTTAACCAACACACTAAGCCTGTGTTAGTGTATTCTAATATTGTGTGTGTGCGTGTGTGTGTGATCAAGGCTTGTACAATAATTCTAAGTAAAGAAAATGTAAAATACATTATCTCATATGTTCTTCATTTTCTTCACTTCATAATGCCTTGAAATCAACTTGCACTTGTTCATATTCTGATATTGAAATCTGCATATAAAAGTTAGTGCACACATTGTATAAATTGTTATCATCAAAATACTATCATGGAGATATGATATTCAACACTGGGATCTCTCTTGCTGGCAGTAAATGGGTTTATAAGATCAAGTTTCGTCCTGATGGTACCATTGAACGTCGAAAAGCTCGTTTAGTGGCTCGAGGTTTTACTGAGCAACAAGGTATTGATTATGAGGAGACCTTTGCTCCTGTTGCTCAGATGCCCACTGTTTGTACTCTCCTTACGGTCGCTGCTGCTCATCGTTGGCCCTTATACCAGATGGGTATCAAAAATGCTTTTCTTCATGGCTCTTTATCAGAGACCGTGTATATGCAACCACCTCCAGGGTCAAATATTCCTCCGGGACATGTATGTTTCCTTCACCGTGTTGTTTATGGTCTCAAGCAGGCACCCCGCTCTTGGTTTGAGTATTTTCACGATGTCGTGCTCAAAGCGGACTTTATAGAAAGTCATCAAGATGCTTCTCTATTTGTTCGTACTACATCGCGTGGCAAAGTTTTATTACTCATCTATGTAGATGATATGATCATTACAGGTGATGATATGGCAGGTATATAATACGCAAAATCTCAATTGTAACAACAGTTCCACATGAAGGATCTTGGATCTCTTCGGTATTTTCTTGGTCTAGAAATTTATCAAGGCTCGCGGGGTGTATTACTGTCTCAACAGAAGTATCTCTCAGATATTCTAAATCAAGCTGAGCTAACTGACAATTCAACTGTCGATACTCCACTCCAGCAGAATGTCAAACTTTGCTCTACTGGCGGTGAGCCTCTATCTGATCCTACCTGATATCGACATCTTGTTGGTCAGTTGGTCTATTTGTGCATCTCTCGACCAGATATCTCTCATGCTGTTGGTATTGTCAGTCAATTTGTTAGTGCCTCACGTTCTGTACACTATGTTGTCTTATTACGGATTCTTCGGTACCTCCGGGGTACTAGCACTCGCTCTCTTTTTTTTCCTGCTACATCTAAGTTAGAGTTTTGTGCATATTCTAATGCTGATTGGGCTGGTGATCCAACTTCCAGAAAGTCTACCACAGGTTATTGTATATTTCTTGGTGATTCCCTTATTTCCTGACGAAGTAAGAAACAAGATGTTATTGCTCTTTCCAGTACTGAGGCAGAGTATCGTGCAATGTCCACAACAGCTAAAGAGATTATTCATCTTCGTCGCCTTCTCAGTGATTTCGGCATTTCTGTTACGACTCCTACTCTTCTCTAGTGTGATAATAAGAGTGACATCCAGATTGCTAATAATCCAGTATTTCATGAAAGGACCAAACATATTGAGATTGACGCTCATTTTGTCCGTCACCAAGTTATCAAGGACAAGACAATTCTACATCCTCATGTTTTATCCGCTGACGAGCTTGCAGATTTCTTCACAAAGGCCTTACATGTTCATCGGTTCCAGTTTTTTGTACGCAAACTCACTTTGTTTGATCCAACATGAATTTGAAGGGGGCTGTTGATAATAGTGTATTGTAGTGGGTTTTAGTCCCACATTGTTTGGGAGAACAAACCTCACACTCCTCTACTTGTATAAATATATGTGCACACTCAATATTCAACTCAAGGGAAATTTACCCAAAATTCTCTCTCTCTCTTACTTTAACACATATATAATATGTTAGAGGACGCCTTCCGGATTGGAAGATTTGTTGTTTCTTTGTGGTCAGTTAATAATTCATCTGTATCCGTATTTGACTTGTAAAGATCTCACTTCTCCATGAATTTCATCGTTATGCGTCCTACATCATTATCTTTACTTTTAGGAAAAAAGCTTTCTTCAAATGGATCAGAGCTTATTCTTAAAGATTTAAAAATTAAAGATTCATTTTAAGTGAAGATATAACAGCTGATTAATATGCATTAGGATAATTAAATTAGATTTAATTTGTTTGCTTTGAAACTAGTAAAATAGATCCGGGATAATATCGATTGATGAAAGTTTTTCCACAACTATCAACTTTTAAAGAGCCTATGAGTCTATGATATGATGATTTATGGATGAATAAATTGGGACTAGATTTATCGTACATGTGTGTTGGGGGTAAATATAATCTTATATTATGGAAATTTGTCATCAAGTATCACCAAACAAGTGGCTACTTAAAAAAGAAACCAAAAAAGTCAACCCAATATGAATGGGTATCTCATTTGAAGCACTTGAAGTGGGGAAGTGAAAAATGGTAGGAAAAGAAAATGGGATGTCTCTTCTGTTGTCGGTAATAACGGACCACAACATTATGGGCCAGAGAAAGATGAGCAGCCATGCAACTTCCCTCATCACTAGCTCCTTCCACACTTTTGGTTTTCCAACCCACTCACAGGCGTTCACACACCCAGCATAAAAAAAAAATCCTGTAACAGGCACCCTATGGCACCCAAATATTGAACCCACTTTAAGAACCAAGTGTTACAATCACAATCCTACTATGGTTTCCTTTGAATGTAACAAATTATGTATTATTTTGTGTGAAAAAAGAGACTGATTTATGAAAGCCCGGTTGAGGCCTCAACCTTTGTTCTTTCCTAACCAGACTGGGGAAGATCAACTCATAACGAAACTCGGTCTTATCGACTGCCCGTCAGTTTCCACCCTTCTCTGAATAAGATGGTTGAACAAGAACGAAGGGAGACTCGATTGATCTGCCATATAGAAATAATATTTGAATTATTCACTGCAGAAGGCGGAAGTGAAAACCCAATCACGTTCTTTTGAATATCACTATTTATCCATCAACCCAAAAAAAAAAAGGATGGTCATGTGCAAAAATAAGAAACAATGCCTCGTCAATTTTCTTTATGATTAAGTCACAGTTTTGGGTCAATGTATGAGGACTGAAAGCGTGTAACCACCCACATCTCGTGTACCCTATATATTGAGTCCCACATTGTAGTAGTAGGCTTAACCACTAAGAGAAAAGCATTTTATTCTCTTGTAAATTGTGTTGTAGTCATCCCTCTCTCTCTCTCTCTCTCTCTCTCTCTCTCTCTCAAACGACCAATGGTGTTCAAAGAGGCAATACTTGTCACTCTCTTAGTTGTTGTTCTTGGCAGCCAGAGGAGTGAAGGACTAAGCAGGGGCAGCTTCCCAAAGGGTTTTGTCTTTGGAACAGCTTCTTCTTCTTATCAAGTGGGTTCTTAATTTTCCCTTTTTCTTCATTTTAATTTTTAAAGAAAAGTAAATGAATATGTGTGTATATGCATGTTGTTTTATTTAAAATATAATTTGGATCATTCTTGTAAAGAAAATATGATGTGAAACAAAATGATGGAACACTCAAGGGAGCAGAGATGGGAGAGATTATGTTCCATACATAAATTAAGAGGGAAAAAAAAAGCTGGATAGCTCCTGAAATTGTGCCTATTTAGACTAATTACTCCCTTTTCTTAGAAATAGTACTTTTGTTAGTATGCGCATAATTTCTGTTTTTTCTGGTTCCAATGGCCTTTGATATATGGGCATGGTTTTAGTGTGACCGGATAATTTATTTTATTCCCGCATGTTGTTTCACAGTAATCCATTTAACTTTTATGATAATTGCAGTATGAGGGGGCCGTGAAGGAGGACGGAAGAGGACCCACTGTTTGGGATACATTTGCTCATACGTTTGGTAAATGAGGAGGGTTATTCTTTAAAGCAATGACATTTTTATGACAAAGTTTTGATATTCTTCAAATTTTAATTTAGAAACATTCCTTTCTTGTAGGGAAGGTAATCGATTTAAGCAATGCTGATGTTGCGGTGGATCAGTATCATCGCTTTCAGGTTAGCAACTGATCTTATGATCGAAATGTGCATATTAGTTGATGAATAATGCCAAAAATAATAGTCACGGATGACTTGATTAATGCTTGTTGTAGGATGACATACAACTCATGAAAGACATGGGAATGGATGCTTATAGATTTTCGATAGCCTGGTCTCGGATTTTCCCAAGTACTTCTACATCCTACTATTGTTGCGAGCTCCATATTATTTTATTAATTTTACTTTTTGCAAATTTTTTTCTGGCAAGTTTTGATGCTTTCATGCCTCCGATTTTCCCAAGTACTTCTACATCCTACTATTGATGCAGGCCCCATATCTTTTATGAATTTTACTTTTTGCAAAAAAAAAAAAATTCCGGCAAGTTTTGATGTTTTCATTGAGAGTAGTGTTTACTATTGTTTAGTCCCACATCAGGTAGGGACGAACTTCTTTGTTTCCCTAAAAACTATAAATAACATCCTCGAGAGAGTTAATAAACTCACTACGGTTTTCCCGAACTA